GCAATTTTGCTGTAACTACTTCAGCGAGGGCAGTGTTCTCCGAAGCCTGCTCTGCAGAGTGCCGATTACGTGAGGAGAAGGGCTCCGCTGAGAAACAGGTCTGAGAAGCCCTGTGTGCTGATCCATCCCTTGGAGGGTCACCATTCCGTTTCCACAGTGAAGCCTCGAGAAACTCTGCTGCCAGGAATACTTTGACAACCATTTCCCAGATTGATTTGACCATGGAACCCCTCTGTTTTCCTGTGTAAACATCTATGAACATCCTAAGAATTAGCTATGCAAGACACTTTAGGAACATGTGCTTCTCTTTCTACCTTTAAATAAAATTTTGGTTGTCGTGTTACCATCTGTTACTAGTGTTCACAGATTTTTATAAACCAGGAGCTGCCCTCTCGGCTCCTATGGAGCCCATCATGCCCCTTGCCCTGATGGTGCCTTCAGCGTCAGGGGCTCCTGGGCTCTTTCTCAGATTCCCCCAACTCGGCACGCTTCCCTGTGCACCCCCACACCTGTCTTTGCTAACAAGGTCCGTCTCTTCTCTCCAGGCTCCACACTCCCAAGCCAGCCCCTCCCTGGCTATCTCTACCGGGATGGACGGCACCAGGCACCTCAAGCGCAACACATCTCAACTGAACTCATCGCCTTTCTCCTCCAAGTGCTGCTTCTCCTCTGCTGTTCCCCATCCCGGGGGGTCGGCATCACCATCTGCCTGCTGCCCAAGGCAGAGTCTCAGTGTCTCTCCACCTCCACCCACACAGCGCCCACGCCCTCCTGACCTGCCTTCTTAAACTTCTCTTTCCTCTGTCTTCCCTTCTCCACACCTGTGGCCATGATCCCAGGACAGTCCACCATTGTCTTCCCTTCGATGGCACCCACACCCTCCTAAGCCACAGCTCCCACCACCCGTTCTGCACACAGGAGCCCCCTTCTCAGACATGCAAATCAGATCATGTCATTCTCCTGCTTGAAACTGACGTCCTGAGAAAACCAAACCCCTTGGCAGGACATGCAGGGCCCTCATCAGCTGCTTCTGGCTTCGTCAACAATGTCCATCCTGGCATTCTTCCCTCCAGTCAGACTCAGCTGCGCTCTGTTCCTCCAACTCACCCTGCTCTCTCTCCCTTTCCAGCCTTTGAATCCCAAACATCTCCATGCTGGTACTTCCCTCTTTCACTCCCTTCCTGTGGCTGAAAACTCACTCCACCAGTCGCCTGCCCCACTTTTCCCCATCGAGCCCCTGAGCCCCTTTCTGCACCTCTGTTCTGGAAGCAGCCGTTGAGGTCAGGGCCCATGTCAGTGACCCAGCACAGCACTCGGCACACAGAAGCCCTTCAAAAAGTATTTGTTAGATGACAAGGTTTGTCATTAGGCAAACCGATGTGATGAATTATATGAACAGACTCCTTGATATTGACCAATTGCTACATCCTAGAATAAACCTTATTTTATCGTGGTGGGAGTTTCTCATATGCAATACTGAATCAAATTCTTAATGCCTCAGGATTTTTACACCTAGTTCTGGAAGTGAGACAGGTCTGTACTGTACTTTGTCTTGGACATGCTACTTTTGGCAGCTTTGAGTGTAGGAATCACATTGGCTATAAAAATAAATTGGGTGGATTTCAGAATACATATATTTACATATTCTGAAACAGTTTATACAGTATTGTATTATCCTTGCTCAATAATTCCTTGCACATGAATAAGAATGTGCTGGCAAAAATAGATTATCTGACTCCCTATTTAGAGTTCTTTTCAAGATAATCTTGAAAACGGTGAAGACCTTGAGTTCCCACCATGGTTATGGGACTTATTATGGCGTCCTCTACATTTTTTGGAGAGAGCTTTGAAATATTGCCATTTCCCAGGAAATCCTTGATCTCTCAGGATCTCCACATCCCTGAGTCAGAGATCCTCACATTCTCACCTTCCGGTTTTGACTCTCTTCTGCAAATGTTGGACTGTGACCGCACATTCCTTCTCCCTGCCTGCAGCAGTTAAGGAAAAAGATCAAGTAGAAATGCCTTTGGGTTAAAATAAATGAGGCTTTGTTCCATCGAATAATCAATACTGGGAAGGAGATAGACTCTCTTTAGGCCAAATAAGAGCCAAAGCTTTGCCAGCACTGGTAAGCAATTAACCGTGTACAATTTCCAAATTTTCTCTTTAATCAATATGGGGGCAATCAGGGGAAAACGCAAGCTGCCATCCAGCACCCAGACCAATTGGCGTTTCTTCTCCCCTTTCTTCCTTAAGACCTGAAGTTTCCCATTTCCCCTTGCCAGAGGTAGAAAGAAAGACAGGGATATAACTATGCCCATCTCTCATGATAAAGGCCTGAAAATTCAGATATGGGAGGGTCCTCATGGAGGGGCCCCAGGCCCAGAATGGAAGGGCTGGAAGGACCCTGCCTAGGGAGGGGGCAGAAAGTGGGGAGAAAGGGAACATGTTGATAGCCACTCCACTGGGGACAGAGGAAAGTCCTATGGAACATTCCAAGGACCCCTGCCTGTGAATGGAGGCTGGAACTAGATCGCTGCCTGCCCCAGCCTTCCCTCCCCTGGGTCTGTGTGGTCTAGAGGCCACGTGGGACAAAGGACTCCATGAGCCTCTTGCCGCTCTCCCAGTCAGTTCACCTACAGAGGAAGGCATGCACATCCTCTCCTCCACTGGTCACCACTGGGTGTCCGTGCAACAGGATGGGGAGAAGGCTCAAGGGGAGATCTCCCAACGGCTGTCCCGAGTGCCTACTCCTCTGCAGGGATTATACATAGGCACCCTTTCTAATCTTTGGTTTGAGATCCCACTCTGTGTTTCTAGATTAAATATGCCAGAGATTTGCTTTTCCAAAGGCTTTCTTGATTGATTCTATTACTCCTTTCTACTTTCTCATTGATTGATTTCTGCTTTTTCTGAACTACTTACTTAGTTTTGCTTTCCTTAGGTTTCTAGTTTGGGGTTATTGTTGACATTTGTTCTAACTTATTGAGTTGGATGCAGGGTTAACATGTTTTCATTCTTCTTGTGTGACCTTGGAAAGCACCTGTGAATTTGCCTCTGAATACAGCTTTGGCCACACCCCATAAGTTTTGATCTGTAGTGATCTTGTTTTCATTAGTTTTCCAAATAGCCTGCAACTGCAGCTCTAATATTCTCCTTCCTAGGAGATTTTTCTTTTTTTAATTTTCAAAGGAATTGGATTTTTTCAGTTTATACATCTTTCTCCTCCTCCTACTTTTGGGGCACTGAGTCAAGAATCTAGCCTGAATACTTTTTGCTGTATAAAATTCACTGAAATTTTCTTCATGACCTAAAGTACTTTTGCAATTTTTAAGTGTTCTATGATTCCTCAAAAAGAAGGCATATCTTTCTGTAGGGCAAGGAAAAAGTAATATAACTACTAATTTAACTTCAGTATATTCTTCGAAGTTTCTACACCTCTTAAAATGTAATCTGTTAAAGGTCTTGAAAAGGGTATGAAAGACTCCTGCAGTTAGGTTTTTGTCAATTTCTCATCTGTTCTGATGGTCTGCTTAGGCATATTTTATGTTCTCTGTGGGGTGCATAAAGGACCACAACTGATGTGCTTGCTGTGGTCACTTCTGTCACTTTAGAGTGACCTGCTTCCCAGGGGAAGGAGAGTGGGCTCAAGGTCCACTGTTCCTGAAATTTGTCTTGCCAGATGAGTCCTTCATTTCCCTTTTCATACTGTGGGCTTCATAAGTTGTGTGCAGTTTGATTTTATTTTTTGAGACTGAGACTCCCTGTCTTTGAATAAAGGAGTTAACTCTTCACATAATTACCACACCTGATACACCTGATCTTATTGTAATTTGATTTTCTATACACCAAGTGAGGTCAGACCACAGACTCTAGAATTTGGCTGCCAGGGTGAGAAGCCCAACTCCCAAGGAGCCAACTGACCACTCACCTGGCATGCCACTGAATCATGTTAAGCCTCTGCGTCCTTATCTGTGAAGTGAGGATCCTTATCTGTGAAGTGAGGATTGTCACAGCTCTGCCTCCCCGTCTATCCCTGGATTAAGTGGGCTCATGCATGTAAAGTGCTGCCATGCTGCCTGGCAGCACCGGGCCCCTTCCCTTCTCACTGTCTCCCATTGTGGGGCACCCTTCATCTTCCCTTCTCAGGTCACTGCCTCTGGGGGCTTCCTGCCCTGCTACATAGACCTGTGAACAGTGCTAGGAAAGATGGTTCCAGGTTTACAGTGAGAGGAGGAAGGGAGGGCAAGAGAGCCCAGTCAGGGCAGAGGCTGCGCGCATGAGAAGAGGACACGGGTTGAAGACCTGGGCAGGGGTTGAAGCAAGGGGTGTACTAATGACACGTTTCTGCTTTGACGTCTGGGGCCTGCTGACTGTGGAGGGACTCACCAGATAGTCGCCACTCACGAGGGAGTGTGCTTTCAAATGCAAACCACTCAATCCAGAGCCCACCCGCACTACCTCCTGTAGGGGCGCCCCCACCCTGGGCGCTGCCCCCCGCCCTAATCACCCAGGGCCAGGTACCAGACAACCAGGGACAGCCCTGTCTCCCAGAGCCCACAGAAATTATTCAAACCAGACAATCCTAAGCCTGCTTACTCTGCCTCACCGGGTCCACCACAATAAAGCTCTTGCCTGGTGCCCCCTCCTTCTGCCTCCAGACCCACCCAGTGCTGCCCCCTGTGGCCCTGCATGGTGGGATCTGGCAGTCACAAACCATCTCTTCCACGGCAGCCACCTCCTGATCTGTACGCCTCACCACACGAATAACAACAAAACGTACATTTTAAAGCAGGGAGTAGGGGAGCAGGAAAATGGGGGTGGCTCCTAAGTTTCTAGTTGCTTAGAGGACCCACAAGGCGGCTGGGGAGAGGCAGGGGGTTTTGCAGGCACAAACCCTTTCAAAGGAGGCCCGTGCCCCCCTGGAGAGCCCCGTTCGTCCCAGGGTGGGTGCAGGCGCTGGTGCGTCAGGAGGGCACCGGCCCGCGGCGTGCACTCACCTTCCCGTGGCTCAGCAGGATTATCCGCACCAGCACGACATTGATGTGGGCCCCCAGGGAGTCGTCATGATAGATTTCGTTCACCTGAAAAACAACCAGGGAGGAGTCAGCAGGAATCTTAGGCCCAAGGACCAGCCCTGGTTTTGCAAATGGCGTCACCACCCAACCAGCCCCCAGGCAGAAATCTGGGATCCCCAATTCCTTCCTCTTTCCCATACTTTACACCCAGGCATCACCATCAACTTTGAATCCATCCCTTCCTTTCCCTCTGCACCCCCTCCTGCAGCCATCACCCCTGCCAGTGTTACTGCAACCCGCTCCTCAGTGGCCCCCCTGCCAACACAGGCAGTCTCCACCTGGAGCCTGACCTTGGATGGAGACATTGACCTCTAATTCACTCTAGCCTCTGAATGCACGTCGTATTTCCTTCAAGAGTGAACATGGCGACAAACCCCAGCGGCTTGGACAGTGGGGGGACTGCCCCGCGGAAATCTCTCCACAGCTGCTGCAGGTGGCTGTGAAATGTTATCTATGCTCCTCACTCCCAGGAGAAGGGGTCATTTTAGACCCACCACCAGGTCTGATTTCTCACGTGTGAATCAAGAGCAGATATTAGTCTGTCACAAAGGTGCTCGCGTGTTCTGTTCTGATAACTGTAAAAATAACCTTTGTATTTTGATTAGTCTTTTATTCTCACGTATTTTATTTGTTGTATTTAAAAACATTTTCTGAGCAGGTGCTTATGGGCTTCACCAGATATCAAAAGGGTCCACAGCGAAAAGTTGTGAGGAGCCCCCACTCTCCCCGGCATAGCTGGCATGACCTTCCAGAAACCTTGGCCATGTTACCCTGGGCTTCACGCTGACAGAGCCTTCCTTGCCCTTGACCCCAGCCCCACACACTCTCAGGACCCTACGTGAATGGATCCTTGCTTCCACCAGCTTCGTTGGTGAGCAAACCCTACTCCTCCTGGAGGCTCAGCCTTGTGGCCACTTCCTCCGGGAAGCGCCTCCCCAGGCGTGATTTGCTCTTCAGTGAGCCCAGTGTCCACAACTTCTGGAGCTCTCTGTGTTCCCCCTGGACTGTAAGCTGCACAGTTACCTGACTTTTCCCTGCATGGCCCCAGCACCCAGGACACAGCAGCCCACGGCAGGTACTAAGGACACACCCCCACTGGGAGGATCACCCCACTCGTATCATCACTGAGGGCAGAGGCATGAGCTGGCCGTGCAGCCTGCCCTGTGAGCAGACTGAGCTCAGAGGCTACTGACCAGCCCTTTGTGAGGGCAGATCTGGTCAGGCGCGCCTCCCAGGGCCCACTCTGCCATCTCAGGCCAGCGCCATACCCCCGCTGAACCCCAACTTTTAGAATCTCTATCTAAGCAACAGTAATTGATACCTATTAACAGTAGGAAGACCCTTCGGGAAATCTGAGACTTAACAAGGAAAATCAAATCGTGATGGATGGATGGGCAGGCACACAGGACATGTGAGACAAGGCCACTGTCACAGTTGCTGTGTGTAGAGAGCGCACCAATGGGAGGGCCAAGCTGACGTGCATACCAGTCCCTGTGAGGCCACCATCCAGCCCTAAGCTCAGCCCCTGCCAGGAGCTTCCCCCCAGCACACCCACCTTCTCACTATAATCGGGTTCCCCGCCCTGACCTGGCTTTCCTGCAGGGCAGGGGTGACTAAGAGCCCTACAGGAGCACGGATGGCCCCCAGGACTCAGTGCGTGAGTCTGAAGAGGGAGGGTCAGCACCCCGCACCTGCCCCTTGGGTGTCTGCCAGATGCCCGGGGCCCACCTGGTCGCCTGCAGCTGACAGGGTGGAGCCCCAGGAGGCTGTGCCCACTCACCCAGGCCGTGCTGTCCTCTCTGTAAACAAGGATGACAGCGCCCATCTCACAAAGCTTTGCGAGGACTCCACTTCCACACACGCGCCATGGCATGACGTTTGTGAAAGCAGTGACACTGCTCTTCCCACCGCCGGGGAACCATATTCCCCCGCAGCCCCCAGCGGGGTGAGGGGCAGGGGCATACCCAAAATACAGACTGCCTTGCCCAGCTGCGAGGGTCAAGCTAGATTGTTTAGTCCACAGGGACACAATAGCCCTAAAAGCCAGTTTCTCTTAAGAGAGAAAGGGTCTTTGGTCTCCAAAGTATTGCTCTATCTCTCACGAGCAAAACTGGGCCAATCTGGCTCACGGAGTTTAACCGAAAGTCGGGTGCAAAAACACAGAGGGCGGGACCCTGGGAGGGCCAGCTGCAGCTGGAGGGGCAGCAGGGAGGAGAGCAGACAAAGGCTGGGGTCGTGAGGGGCGTGCTTCCCGATGGGATTAGTGCCCTTATAGGAAGAGGCACCAGAGGGCTTGTTCTCGCTCTCCGTCCCTCTCACGTTCGCGCACTCTCTCTGTCGCGTGAGGACAGGGCCGGAAGGTGGCCCTCTGCAAGCCGGGAACAGGGCCTTCACTAGTAACCAGACTGGCGGGCCCCTTGATCTCGGACTTCCAGCCTCCAGACCCCGTGAGAAATAAACGCGTGCTGTTTAACCCCCGCGCCTGCATCATTTTGCTGGAGAAGCCCGAGCTGACATTTAAGACAAGCCTGGAGTCAGAGCTTAACCTCTGACCTGACGATTCCCCCCAAAGGCTTTTGAACAGCAAGCGCCTGAGTACCCCCCACCGGCCGGGGTGCATTCTCCCTCCTATCCTGGGATATGAGAACTAAAGAAAGCTGTGTTTCTCCCCACGTTGGAACTTTGGTGTATAAATGTCCATCCCGCCACACATAACCCCTTGGCCCAGTGACAAGCCCCTCACGGGTTCTCAACGGGAATCCTCCAACGGAGCCCCCTGCCTGGGCTCTAGCTGAGCCTACTATCCCCAGGGGCTGGAACTGTGTGGCTTGGCCTCTGCTTCTCCACGGCCCACGGCAGGCACCCAGCAGACCCAGCAGAGACGTTGACCCCGCTGCACACCAGCCATCATGTTAGCACTGGAGACTCAGCAGCGAACCAGGAGGGAGCCGCTCTTTTTAGGAGGTGGAGAGGGACATCTGGATGTAACAAAACCAGCTCCATGATCTTGACGATGCTGACGAGGCTGCAAGGGAAAGGCAGAGAACCTGGAGGGCACATGAATGGTGAATCTGCCCTGGGGGGATTGGGGAGCCTCCTAAAGAGGCGGCATTTTGTGTCAGAGCTGAGAAAGGAGAGCAAGTTAGCTCAGCAAAGCAGGGATGGTGCTCCCGACGGAACAGCATGTGCAAACATCCTGGGGTCAGAGTCTCAGGAAGGAGGAGGGGGAGTGAGCCCCTGAGTCCAGATCATTCAGGCATTCAGATCCATAGGCTTCCAACTCTACTCAAAGAGCAGTGGGTGACATGGGGCCAAGAGGGGGCACCACCTCTTATGAAGATTATTCGGGCTCCTTACGGAGAGCAGATTGAGGTTTCCACTGCCATGGTCAGGATGTGGGAGTGTGGGGCTCAGATCCGGGACAAGCGGAGAGAAGCGACAGACGTGAGGAGTGACTTGATTGGAACAGGGGGCCCCTCTCACACAACCCTCGGACACCCGGGGCCCGCTCAGCCCCTTCCCTCGCTGACAAACAGAGGCAGTCCATCTTTGCTCTGCACAGGGTTGGGGAGGGAGAAGTGTCCTGGGGTCATCTCTCCAGAAAACGAGGGGCTTGGGGGTCCCTCAACAGCCTGGAGGGGAACGCCACCCCAAAGCCCGTGCTCTGACTGCACGTCTCGGGGCGGTCTGGGAGCCACCTCCAGGGGACCTGCCTGGCACACACCAAGAGGCTCTGAGCCGTGGGCACAGCCATCTGAGGACAGGAGACCCGGCTTGTTACTCCAAAGGGCTTTGGGCTGAGTTCACAGAATCCTCTCACTTTATGCTCCCAACAGCCCAGTGAGGAGGGGTGGGCAGCCCCACCTGAGTGATGAGGGAGCTGAGGGTGGTCCCCATAGGGAGGAAGGAGACACAGGCAGCACCTCCCCGGCTCCTGGCCCAGACCCTGCCCGTTGGGGCCCACCAGCCTCCTGTGCTCCCGGCCCCACCTCCGGGGCCCAGAGCGGCGGCTCTCATCTCAGGCAGGGGTCCTGTGTCCTCCTTGGGCACTGGGCAGGTCTGACCCTGGCTCCTGATTTGGGACAGGAGGTGACCAGAACCCCAGGAACCCCACACCTAGCACCGAGCCTGTGAGGCAGAGGGGCGAGTGTCCTGCTGGCGGTGGGGGTGAGGCCCCAGGGCCTGGGACGTCAGGTCACTGAGCCAGGCCTCTGGCTGGGGCGGCTCTGTCTTCGGAGCTGCTCATCAGCTGGGCTGGGTGCTCTAACTCTGGCCTCAGAGGCCACCTGGGCCTCCTGGGCTGCTGAGGAGCAAGCCAGGCACATCCGGAGTGCAGCCAGCAGATGGCCAGCGGGGAGGCCAGGACACGGGCCAGGCCAGCGGCCAAGCCTGCTCTTGAGACTCCCCCGCCTGCCCAGTGCGGTGGCCTCCAACTGTGGTGCCTTTCTACCCTTCCACACGGGACGCAGCTCCACACAGTCTACTCCTCTCGGGAGGCAGGGCTGTGAGCCAGGCCATGCCCCGGCTTCGCTCTGTGACACTGGCACCTCTCGGCAGCTGCTGGCCTTCTGGGGAGCCCTTTAGGTGGACTCCCTCAAGGTCAGGCCCCAGCAGCCCCCTCCCAGGGGGCAGGGTCCTGTGTCCCCCTCTCCCCGCTGTGACCAGCTGTCCTGGGCCAGCTCCTTGCTCATTAGCTGGGTGCGGCAGAGACCTCGAACCAGCACCCAGGTTCCCCTCTGGTGTCTGGCTCCCAACCCCACCCTGTGACTTGTCAGGAGGAGAAATGGCAGCATGCAGGGCTGTGGGGCAGGGGAGACGCAGGCGGTGCTGAAGAGGGGCCCACTGTCCTTGTCTTCTGCTGGCCTGTGAAACTGCCAGAGCCCCGAGTCCAGCTGCCTCCGGCTCCCTATGAGATGCGGCTCAGATGCTGTGGTGAGGCCAGAAGCCCAAGGGCCCACCTGGGCATGGGGACCACAGGGCATAACAAGCAAAATTCCCAGTGAAAC